AAACCAGTTAAACTAGATGCTCCATTGTCATAAAGACAGTGGGTGAAATGACACTCCACAAGGTTCATCAGAAGATGGACATTTCCCATATCTTTCTTAGGAACCCAGATCCCTCTGTAGTTCTTGGTCAGAGGGCTCCCAGGCTGACAAGTTTAAGATCTCAGAGGCTCTACCAACTTGATATTTTCCTCAGTTTTGTTACTGTTGCAAATTCTGTGGAATTATAGAACACTGCTTGTAGCTGGATTCACCTTCTCCAAATGTAGGCAATTATTCAGGCACCTAGATCTGAGTTAGTTGTCCAGACTTTACAATCAATGGAAAGAAACATGCTTTAATAGCGTGTTATCTTTTCATTGCAACATATATTTCTAATCTATATTATGATTTATCTGACAAGTGCTTATTTTTTCTCACTAATTATTAAAAAAACCCAATACATCTAAGATGTTAGATGCCTAAAAATAGGAAAAATGTAGCTAGTATGCTACACATCAATGTTTCTGAAAGAAACACTTGCGAAATTTCCAGTTTGTGTGCAATATCTGAAAAATTTGCTCTCGCTGCAAATTGGAATGGAAATAGATTTCTGAATACCATAATTACTCACAAGTCAGGAGTCACACACTTGCATCAAATGAGAACTGGCTCTAGGAAAAGTCCAGCACTGCCACCTCACCAGAATTCTGGGAATTTATTTTTTTGCTACAGGTTAAAAGGTCATCTACCTAAACACAATCATTTTAAGCATTTTAACTGCAATAGCTAGAAATTAGTGTAAGTCCAGAAAAAATACCTGAGAAATGAGGATAGTACCATACAACAAGAAACTATATTTAGCCTTTCTACAGGCAGCTGAAAATTGGCTTAACTCGCTCTGTATGTACCTCCAGAATGCAAAGAAAAAACTACGCATACGAGGACATTTTTATTTTATTACAAGAAGACATAACAAGAGTTAAAGAGAAGATATCAGGTAAATCCAGATGAGGAATTAGGCACACATTCTTACAGGCATAGTGATATACCTTTGATACAAACTGTAAAAGACAGCAGAGACAAATTCTCTCTGTGCCTCCATCTCAGGACTAGAAAACTCTTAGTTATTATACAGTCAAGAACAAGCTGTGTTTTGATTAAATATAAATAATCTATCTCAGCAAAGGGGTGAAATGTAATGGCATATAGCAGCAAATTATTCAGACTACACATGATCTAGGACAGATATACACTGCAAAAAAATAATGCTCAGCAAAAAACCTCAAACTAGCAGAAATCCCTTCTGGCCTTCATGCCTATAAAAATATGATGTATTGATTGCATTATGCTCTTCTATATTGTTGGCTATGTGATTACCTTAGTTGATTAACCTGCTCCTGCTTGGAAATGAGAGCATGGTTCCATGTCACAATTTCTCTGGTGGTAAAGCCACTTTAACAGAACCCTCTCTATCTTGATCCCCTATATTTGCCAGATCACTTCCAATTCATCACACCTCTCTTGTTCTGATGACTTTCTTTTCCAGTAGATCTACACTGTAAAGCAGCTTAACAAAAAGACTTTGCTTTAAAGCATGCTCCCACATTCATTTAGATCTTTGAGCCAAGAAAGAGGAGAGGATCGTTTTACAATGCGTTACACTTGAAGCCTGAAATACTGCTTATGTGAACATTGGAAGCTTCAATCATCAACATATAAGATGATGCATTTCTTGATTACTTGTGAACTACTATGTTTGCCATTCACTTATCATCTTTATATTATGATGAATAAAATTACCAGACCTCGCCTTTGTTGTAATTTTATTAATACCAAGCTAAGCATTTATTATTGAGATTAGGGTTATTGGGGTTTTTCTTTAATTATTGAAATGTTATTCCTCATGAGTAACGATGAGAAGAAGCTATGGAAAACCAATGTGTTAACTGATTACATTAAGGCACTCCAGATGGTGAAAAACATTGTGTAGAAGAGGAAAATTCCCTAGAGAAGTATACTACAAGGTTAAATGCTTCCATTGAGACTGTTTAAAGTATTTTTATAGAACAAGATAGTTCACAAAGTACAGTGTTAAGAGATTTGGTATTACCTATATAATTTATCAAGTTGGCTTTGAGAATCAAAGTCTTCATTCTGAGCATCACTAAGTGCAATGCACAACTTCCTTATCACAGTACTAGATCACCACCTCTCCACTACCCAAACATTACATCCAGGTGGGGCTTGTGTCTGCCCTAACCCAATAGAACCCACTGTGAAATCAATGTGAAACTACTGTTGACCTTAACAGGAGGCAGACTAGAGTGAGAGACGGAAGAAGTGTTGATTAATCAAGCCCTTTTTCCCATCTGAACTATGATACTACAAAAAGTATCACAGTTGAAGGGGCTACTTCCTCTGTACTCTGCTAGTCGGCATGTAATAACAAGTGAGCAGTGAATATTATGTTTATTCCAGTGTAAAATTTAATTTTTAGCTAACAAACCTATTGAAGAAGTTTATGTGATCAGTTTTTACTGGTTTATAATCTTCCGTAAGTGCATTCTTAGGACACCCTATTATTATAAAAGACAAAAAACTTCTTTTCCTCCTCATGTCACTCTAGAAGTATTGTGCTCTCTGTGTGCTTTATCAGCAAGATATTAAAAGGGTAATGAATTGAACAACAGTCAAAGAACAGGTCTCCACACATCAGTTTGGCCTTAAACACACTAAAATCTGTTTATAAGCTAATATAATGTTAACTAACTCTTCCCTTTCTTCAAGTATAGTATTAGTAGCAGTCATTCAGCTACTAATTCAACATCAAAAAGAAAAAAAAAAAAAGAAAAGAGAGAAGGTAAATTGCAGCTGGAACTTTCCACTAGCGTTTCATGTATTTCTGGGTAGTCTTGTCAATTCTAACTGAATCCATTATTAAAATAGAAGTTTGTTTCATGGAGAACTGATAATATATACTGTTCCCATTATACAGAAGGAAAAGCTGAATGAGATTTTGGAAATTAGTTATTAAGAGAATGATATGAAATATGATTAAAATATATTCCAATTTTTACATATGCAATAGAAGATAAATGTCAGCTCCACTTCTCTGCTAAAGAAAATAAGTAGAAATACATGCACTGCAATTTGTTCAAAATCTAATTATTTTGTTTCATGAGAAACAAATATTTTTCTGAAGTGCTAATTGCCACATTCTTTCTTAAAGAGGAAAGAAAAGACAATTTCTAAAAGAAAATTTAATGTCACAAAAATTTAAGACAGATTAGTCTTGTTCTTCCTTTCAGCTTCATTAGTTTCCTTCTTTAAATGTTTTTATGAGATTTCACACTTCAGTCTTCTGCAATAAAACAGAATTGTCCAGATGTTGCATTAAATCACTAAAGGCAAGTAAATGGAGATGGAAATATTGGTTCTTGTCATATGGAGAAGAAAGGCAAGCATCATACCGGGCTGTTTAAAGAGAGGTCTAGCATGTCAGAAACGTGAAGCAAATCCCTCTCTTTACACTCTAGACTTGTTCTTCCTTTTAGTATTCTACTTGGAAAAAAATATGGCTACTACCTCGAAACAGCACAGTGAAGATGTTCTGAAAACAACGGGACATCTGAAACATCCAAGCTACACAAAGAATCTGCTTGAGCTGTTGAACTTAAAGAAGTGAACACCAAAGAGGAACGTGATAACAGATTTCCAGTATGTATAAGACTGCTGCAAAGAGGAAGAAAATAATAGTACTCTTCAGTCATGGTGTAAGGCAAGAGGTAATGGGCTTGTACCATGGAATGAAAGATTCAGGTCAGACACAAGGAGAAGACAACTGGTTTCAGACTTGTGATTTTAGAAGCCATTAAAAATAGGCAGATGGATCCCTGTCATAGGGCCATTGTACAATATTGCTTGTATGGAATTGAATGACTACATTTCATCTGTAGGTGAAGTAATGGATTTACTACTAGTTTGTTGTCTGTAGTACTTCTAGTGATTAGATGCTATATTATAATGATTCTTTTGGTAATACAAAATATGTACTGTATTAAGTTTGTATTTAAGAAGTGATTTAATCTTAACATCAATTAACATAAACTTTCTCAAAGTTTTTGATACACAACATTAATATCAAATATTTGCATATAATCTAGGCTTGTTACTAATAGAGCTTTTAACATTTTTCTTAATTATTTTTCATTAATTTCAAGCAATTTGTGCATTTTAAATTGACAACATAAAATATCTGCCAGCAGATGGCAAGAACCACGCGGATAAGAAAGGTAGCCGGGATGATATATGTGTTTTTAAAAAAGAGATAACAATATAATGAGTTGTGGTTAATTGAAAAAATTTGTGTTGGGCATTAATGATCATGTTTCAGGGGGCAGAACAGATTCAAATCTTTGATTCAGAAGAACAGCTAAATATACTTGAGCCCTACTTGAATGGTTTCCTGAACAGGGAGGAATTTAAGCATGTATTTTAGGGCTATCTTGTATCAGGATATTATTTGTGTTGTGGGACTCACAAATTGAAAGCAAATAAGAACCTTCTTTTCTTTGCTTAACTCAAAGTAGAAGAAATGTTCAGACTAAAAACCTTCTATAATTTGTGTGAAAGACAACATACTTTTTTCAGTGAACTGATGCATGTCTCCACTGATGAGTAAATGCAGAAACCATCTTGAAATATCTTTGTCCATTTCCCTTTCCTAAGACAGTATACACCAAGCCTATCGCGATGGGCCTTGCTGGGGTTACCTTTTTATGCAATATAGATGTTGAACAAGGAAGTGTTCAGCTCATATAGAAACAGAAGATTGTATAAAACTGTAATTCAAAATGCTAAAGAATAGCTGGACTTGTGCTTTATTAACCTTCATGTTTAAGTGCATGGATTTTAAGAATGGTTGCATATATGGACACTCTCTCTTTTGAGTAGCATTAAAAAATAAAGGAGTACCCTTGGTAGCATTTCACATTATTAGCATTTAAGAGTAGTTCACATACCTGGTTTTAATGTTTTGATTGCCACAGGGGTGGTATTATTCCACAGTCCTTCCCATACCTCACCAAACTGACCAGATCCTAGTTTTTTCAACAATTTCAGAGATTGTCGGTCTATCTCCCACTGATCAACAGTTTTATACGACAAATCAAATGTAGTAGGAATCTGTACCTGGTAAAAGAAAATTAATAATACAGTAATTGTGATTTCTAATATTTTTGCAACAGCATACACAAGTCATTGTTAGCTATGTCATGTCATGTTGCAACGGATATAAATAATTTTTCCTTAGAATACACACACGTGATAAAGTGAGCTGAGAACATAAAATACAGCCCACATCTTGGGTACTTCTTGTTAGAAATAAGAAATACTCTAAAGAAAATATGCTGCCATTAAAAGTAAAAATTAGAAACCATCCCTCTAGCAAGCTTTTTGAACAGTGACCTATTTCTTGCCTGAACCTTGTGGTTTTGTCTCAGTAATTACTTATGGACAGCTAGAGTTATGAAGTTGGAGATTTCGTCTCCATATACATTTATAAAAAGGTATTCATTTAGCATATTTTCTCCTCCAGCCACACGATGATTTGTTCAAAATGGCATGGTATTTTATTATTAGCATGTCAGCTTCATGACTGAAATTGTAGTGCTACCCAGAACTTCCCGAAAATAAGCAGATCGTCAACATTTTGAAATGGTAGAAGCACATCTGGGGTTAACATCTTCTGACTAATATCTGATGAGTTAGCTAACAAGAAATATGTTGCACAATGTAGTGTCCGCTCTTACCTTGAGGCATGGCTTTCCAAGCACCACACAGAGGCCATCGCTGTTCTTACTGTAATAGTCAACAAACTCATTCAGAGTTTTAAAAGTTTTCCTTCTGCTTAGGAAAAAGCCTCCTTCATCCAACTTTCTGATCCTGTAGTGTTTCACAGACGCACCATCAAAAACTAGGAAGATTTAAATATATTAAGTTTCCATGAACTATAGCAGTGGTACAATGTACCTTATGGCCAAACCATCATAATGTTCCTGAATGTATTTGTGAGGAACTTCATAAAATAAGTTATTTTAGTTTCAAAGATGACAACTATAAAAAAATCTCTTTCAAACCAAAGCCCACTGTTTAGATAGCCTAACACATCTAGTATACCAGTCTTCAGCCATTCAGGTTTAGAGATTCTTGCTTGCACCATACGAACTGATGCAAAAATACATAAATACACCTTCTGTGAGGCAGCTCATATTTTCCATCTTTTAAGAAACCAAAAACAGCCAGGAGCGTCTAATTCACAGTAATCACTTAATTAGTTTTTAATATTTCATTTATGTGAAATAAACTGTGTTAACATTCCAAATAGCAGCTTCTGGGCTGGCAGGCATTTTAGAGCAAGCAGATATACCCTCCACATGGCCATGATTCTCTGAAAAGCACTTCACACCTTCCATGGGTTTTATTGAGTTTTATGCATGTTTGGAATATGTAAAAAACAGGCCAATAATGCTCTGTTTTGAGTAGCTGATGACTCCCTTTCCATTGAAAATGTGTTTTATTCTAATTTGTTCTTTCTTAATCAAAAAGACTTTCACCTCCTGTAGGTTATTTACCTGCATGTGTTGACACCCAAAGTGTCCTTCCCTGTGACCATGAGAGCACTCTTTAGAGGTGTCAAAAAGAAGGCTGGGCCACTGCATGCTGGGGCTAGACCTGGAATAGCAGCAGGCCAGAGATGAACAAAAAAATGCAGTCGCTCACTTAGTACGTTATCTAAGGAATATCAGGCTTGCAATTGTCATTTCTGGTGGCTCTGTCATATATGGCTTAGAGTAGTGGTCTCCAAAGCAGAGGGCATGCAACCCAGGGACTGTCCAAGACAATCCATTGAGGTGTGGGAAAGAAGTATTTTTTGTACCATTAATAAGTAAAATAAAATAAATATTTTAAAAATACTGTTTATCTCATCTTTATCTCATCCTTTTTAAATTTTTTTTTAGCATATGTTCTATAATGTACATAGTCTATCAGTACAGTAGTACATGTATATAATTTACAAATAAATAAAAAACTAAACATATATTGGGGGTAAATGCTCTAAAATCTTTTTACTGGTAGGGGTGCAAAATCAAAAAAGTTTGGAGATCACTAGCTTAGAGATCTCCCTTATAAAGGAATACCAGCAGTAGCAATGGCAGGCTGCACGCCAGCAGAGAGGGCAGTTCTGAAGAGATGGAAGGGCGTGTAGTCTCTCACATTTATCATGACACTCCATCACCCTCCATTTCCAATGGGCAATGGAGAGCCTCTGTTACATACTGAAGGGTAACTGATTTACTCCTGTCAGAGGGGTATCCCACCCTGCATTCAATGAAACAACACTGTTCTTTTCCATGATGAGTGAGGCGAGAGCTCTCAAGGGGAGGAGGATGCTCCAGCTGCCATCCTGGTTGTCATCACCCAACATTACACCTTTCCAATAAGCCAGGTGGCTCTTTCCACACCAATAGATTTGGAAGACTACCATTACTGTCCTCTTCCAGGACCCTCATGCAAGATGAAAGTCTGAAAAGCAAAAGGGAGGCATAGGGGAAAGGCCTTCTGCTGTTTACCTCCAGTATACCTTTTAGTAGCCAAAATTCCAGCAAACATATTCAATTTAGTCATGTTGACTAGTGGTTACTCTTGGTTAAATAATTGAATGGAAACATTTTTCAATCCTAGAAGCAGACTCAGTCTGTCACATTGGAAAATGTCATTATCTAAAAAACTTTTATTGCTCTCCCCTGGAGATATTATAGCTGACAGTTCCTTTATATTGTAACACAGCATGAATTTTGGTAATCACTTTGGTTATACTAACAGAAGAATACACAGCTACATATTGTATGTGGAAAAAAATATAGAAAATTATGGGTTGCATGCAATTGATATAAAGTATAATTTCTCTCACTATTTAAGTGATCAAGTTAAAAAGAAAAATCTTTCCTTCCTCAAGTCCTGTCATGTATGATCACATTTTTTTCTACCGTACTGTGCGATTGTCACCCGAGGCCGCCAGGGGGAATACAGGAGCTGTTGAAAATATTAGGGGATTTTACATCTGCCCCAGGAAATATTTCAAGAGAGCTGATTTACCAACTTACAAATCTGCATGAGGACCAGAAGTAAGAATATTTGTAAATATAACTCCATAGTATAAAGATCATTATATCACACTTTTCAAATGCCACTTATTTTTAATTTAACACCTCATATTTAGTTGTTTTTTTTAAATTATAAAATGCATGTGTATTTTTGTGATGTGTTATTTGGAAAAGGGGCTGAAGCAAAAGGAAGGAGAGTAATTCAGTAACAACAGACTGCAAATCTGATGACTTTTCCAAAGTTCACTGTAAAGTGCATCTGGCCAAATGAATCACTATTTATGAATAAAAGGCCAACATGATGATGTTAACTGGTGTTAATCCAGTCTCAGTTGCATATCACAAGTGATAGCACTTTGACTACCTGCTTTATTTAGTAGCAGTATTGTAACTATTACTTGTGAAGCAGCTGATGTTAATGCAAGAGTTGGTTTGAAAGATGCGCTCTAATTTCTTAAATGAGCCTTGCATGAAGCCTTATGATTGGCAGTATCCAGGTCAGGCAGTGACGTGTGTGAAGAAGCTGAAAAAATCTCTGCGATGATACCGCCTCTTCTTGTGATCAGCACCTGAGACGAGCGCAGTATTTGTCAGGGGGCTGTTTACTTGTACCCCAGGGCTAAGTCTGGCTTTGCAAGTCCTGCACTGCACACTCGCAGCGCTACAGCACGGCGCGGCTCCTCCGCCCGACATGACACAGGGCGTGCGTCAACCAAGGAGGAGCCAGCCATAACCTCCTCCATGCTCCCAGCCATCCCTACGTCCAACCAGGCTGCTAACCAGGACGGGATTGCAACTTCAGCTTCACACAGCTTGAGAGCAGCTGGGTTTGAAGACTGCGGTGGTTTTCTCCTCCACTTGCCCTTCCAAAAAAATCACCACTCTCCATTAGATTTCTTCACGGGTTTGGTTTAATAGAAGCATTGTCCTCTCTTTGATTCCCATCTTCGTAAGGCTGGGCCATGGAGGTGTAACTTTTGTCACCCCGAGGATGAGAATAAAATAACTTACTACTCCTTTCCCAGGGCAGCAAAATTCGATTTTATGGTGGCATCAACAGGGTCGACACCTTCCCCAAAGGAATCGCCGAGACACTAAGGCACCCTCACCGCCAGTGTGCCGGCACCGCTCCTGCCACCGCTCCTGCCGCGCTGCCGGCGGGAGCTGCCTGGCCTCCACGCCCAGGGTGGGTGTGGGAGGAGGGTGGCCTTTGAGATCACCCTCACCAGCACAGAACAGGTGCAGGGGCTGCTCCGAAATCATTCTCCTGCTACGGCCCTCATTTTGCCACTCCCGTCAGTCTGCTGCCTTAAACGATTACCTATTTTTTCCTATGCTGAAAGCCAGTTTGGCGTAGAGGAAACCACACAATCCTTTTTAGGAGGAGGGAAAAATACTGGAAGAAAACACAAACCATTTACACTGCCATTTAATGCAATCAGTCTTTCAGATACCGTTATTCAGTGAGGGAGGAAGCAGAGAACCTCCTGCTATCATTGGCAATGACACTCAATTAAGCTGAGCACATCTAAATTATGGCTTTTAATTAAAAAGAGGCAAAGTCTAAGATGGTACCAACATGTTTAAAATTTAATACGTTTCACACCAGATGCTGGAGTCATCAACATAAAAATCTGTCGACAACATGTGCATTTTTAAAATGGGAAAATCTATTTTTAAAATGTCAAACATTTTAAAATGATAGCAACATATCTCAGTGGCCTATCTGGTTTGATGTGCTTTCCATTTAACCATTCACAGCTGAGAAAAACCTTTCTGAACACAACTTTTTGGTTTTAATTTAAATAGTCATTTATCATCTAAATCTTACAAAGTGTGTATTCCCATCAAGGGAAAAGTGTCATTTTAATGAAAAGTAGGATTTATTTCTTTTTCTTTTGTTTTTTCCTAAGGAGATCCATTTGTCTTCCTCATTAACATTGTCTCTTATGCATTGCACATATGAGTATAAAACCAAGCATGAAAGTCATAAAATCAGTTCATGGGTACTTGGGTAAAAATCTCTCTTCTATTTCTTCCTCTTTAGCTTTATTACACTTAGGTGTTAGGCTGGACAGAGAGTTACAATATTTTCTTAAAGACCTTAATTCTGATAGTCATTGCCATCTACTCTGGAGTGAAACCAAAACAGCAGTAGCAGATAGAGCAAACCCAACCAGTCCTACAGAGGATGGGAATTTGAGGGTCTATTCTTTCTGCACTGAAAAACAATTGGAAACAGAAATTAGGGATATATTCCAAAATACCAGGTTGTGACTTCTTCCCTGTCAGTGTATCAGCTACCATGGAGATGGAAGCCATCCGAGACCTCTTAAAAGAAATACTCTTGAATCAGTATTCCTCCAGAAAGCCCTGCTTTTCTGCCTCATCTTTGAGTGTCTCATAACTCCTTCTGAAGGAACAAAGAGGAGAGAGAGTCAGAAGAATTGCCGCCTTCATAGCATCTGGTGGACTAAATAACCTTCTTTACAACTAATTCTCCTCACAGTACAATCCACTTCATCATTTGCTTTAGAATTCACTAGATCTCCCAAAAGTAGACGTAAGTAATGAGATTCTGGACATACAATGTCTGGACCATTATGTATACTATTAGGTTGGAAGCAAAAAGCTTGCACAACACAAACAGACGCCGTTCAGTCAAGCCTACTGAGTAAGCAGCAAATAATATTTAGCTCTTCAGGATGAAGTAGCATGTCGAGGTTAAATTACATGCAAGTCTGGGAAGCTGCTAAAAGCACTAGCAGCAGTAGTAAATGATGTCATTAACACTCACCGTCTGCTGACTGCTTCAGAATTTATTCTTTTTCTTTGCCTAAAAGATCACAAACATGTAATAAATCTGAGATGACACATATATACATGCATACATGCTCAGAGGACAACCCATGTTTGTGCATGAAGGAGAGCTGGCTCCTGTAGCTGGAGCCTTGCCTCCACGTATATTATGTTCTTCAGTGCCACTCTTCCCTTCCTTCGTGAAACAAACCAGCATGGAAGAAATCCACACTCACAGTTTCATATCTTGCTATTATAAGCCATCATCAAATCTCCTGTTCCCAAGTAAACTTAGAGAAACCTGAAAAATGTCTAACACAAGCTTTTATAACCGAATCAAATATACCAAATAAGGTAGCACATAGTTTCTATCCATGGATTGTAAGGAAAAAATTAAACAGTGTCATCAAAGGATGTTCTCATCCTACCACACATGCTGGCCTAATATTTATTTTCAGTCTCTTGGATTTTTCTCTCTAGTACTTCATAGTTTAAATAAAGTCCTGCTGCCTTGCTGTTAGAGAAGTAGTCAGGATGCAGGGTGAAGAATTAAGTTTTTTAATCTTTCCTAGAAGGCTACAGCTGGAGAATAATAAAAAGAAATTGCATTTCCACCCCTAGGTGCACCAGCACAAGATTTTTCATTGATTTTTACTAAGGTGTCATGTATTCAAGTGCCAGTATTAAGCAGATAATACAGGCCTATCTATCCTTCCCTGCATAACAGCACTCTGTTATCAGTCTAGCCCAGTCCTTGGATGAAATCAGTTCACTGATGAAGAACACTTGAAGGAAGCTGAAACCATATACGACAGGGATAAGTTGGCATATAGAGGGAAAGCATTTTGAAAGGTCTGCAGCTATAATACAATCTTTGGTTAAAAAGGTGCACGCAGAGGGGTCAGTTCTGTCACAGTTTGGGAGTAGTCTGATTCCTTGCTGATGTTAGTTTTCTTATCAGCGCTTCTTGGCAAGAACAAACTTCCTTGAGATCAAACTGAAGACTATGGAATGAACTCTCCCAGAACTGTAAACATATTTATTTCATAAACTTCCCTGTATTTCACTCCACAGGCAACATGTATTTCTTTGTCTTGGCAATGAAAAGCAATCCCATTACCACAAGTCATTGCACATCTATACCCTTTCCTTATGATTCAGAAAGAGAAACCAAGAATGTGTCAAAAGTTCATTAAGCTGCTTAATGCATTTCTGTGTAATGCCCAGATGACTGACACATAAACAACCAGGCAGAAAGGGAGTCGATATGAAAGAATCTGGTTATACACAAGACGCCTCATTTTACTGACGTAATCCTGCACATGACAACTTACGGTTTATTCAGAAACATCAAGTCTGCACTGGCATATGGAACTATATAGGTAGAGCACATTAGAAAGTTTGGGTGTATAGCCTTGTTGTCTCAGGGACAACATTATACTCTTGGCTCACACTTGTAAGACAAGTTTGGTAAAAAAAGTTCAGGGAAAACAACCAATGAAAGCCATGTTTACTATCTAATACAGCAAATATCTATGACATGAAAAATATGACATGTTGAGTAAGTAAAATTATTATCAAATAAGTGTCCTTATTTGATAGTCTCTCGGATTCAAATAAAGCACTTTAAATACATTTCAAAATCCATCATCATCATCAATCTTAATTACAACTAACTTTTCAATGAAATATGACTTATTCCAAAGCAGAGTTTTTAAGATCTTCCTATCATTTTTCCCCTGAAAACAAATAAATATAAACCTAAGGGTGTGCTCTAGGAGAAATCTCATTTTCTTAAACTGCAGATATCTGCCAACATGGTTTAATTATTATTTTGTCTACTAATCAGAACAGTAGTGTACAACTGTAACGTATTTTTTGTCATTTTAATCATTAAAATAGTTTCTATTTTAAGGCAGCTGGCACACTAGAAGTACTAAGCATAAGAAAGTTAATTTCTATTCTGACCATATTAATAAACAAAGCCTACAAAACAAATGTTAGTAAAAACCAAAATGGCTTTTTCCAGGTTTTCTTTATATATCTCCTGGGAAAGAAATATTATCATGAACTTAATTTCATTTTTATGCCCACAGTTTATCATTCTCAAAAATGGAAAAGTCCAGCTCACCAGAGAAATTTTTAAAACATTGCTTAAGTTGAAAAACTAGAATATACCTGAAAGTGAGAATTCGCCTTTTAGACTTTCACTTTCTCTGATTAGGAAGGCTCCTGCCTGGTTTCCAGGGTATGACAGTTGTCTCTCGGCATCTGCTCGTTTGATAGGGCCAAAAAACCATCTGAACAAATAAAAAACATTAATTTTACCAGTCAGTGAAACATACCAGGAAGACAATTTAGCTTTTATAAACATGCTGCATATTTACTAAAAGATAATCTGTGATATGCTAATTAAATTCCAATAGCATGGGGGAAAAAAGCCAACAAGAACTACACAACAAATTTATTACTAGAAAATATTGCTTATACATTTGAGTGAAATCTGGATTTTACCGCTGTGCTGGGTTGACCCTGGCTGGAGGCCAG